AATTGTAAATTATATGTCGATAAGATTGATGCCTCAAAGTAAACTAAGTTGGAATGAAAAAGTGCAAATCCATCATAACTCTCGCAACAACCTAAACATCACTAAGTTTAGCTGAACTTCATAGAAAATATCCACCATTAACAACCTTCTAGCAACCTTTGCCCCTCAATTTCATGTCCGGTTATCACTAGAAAGAAAACGCTATCGCCTATCAGACAGAATAACATAACTTTCTAGGGTGGAGAAAAGAATTTTTAACTTCTAAATGTTCGACGAAAACTTCAATCGCACTCTACACATTAAGTATGCAGACAGTTTTATGCATCAGGATAATGTCCAAGGATCTAGAAATCAAGAGAATTATTACAAAAATGCGAGACGTATCTTGCAAGAACTTCAGGGTATGATTTCCAATCAACAGTTCAGCAATCAGAACAACCATAAGATTCTAAAATCGAAATTTATAAGCTAAATCCAAGCATCTTTGCTGATAATCTAACCTCTAAAACATCAATTCAAACATCGAAAAACAAAACTGTCGAAACTAGCCCAATTCTTTGACCTTAATCAAAGACATTCCAAAGATAAATCAAGGTTGACAAACATAAAATCAACAATCAACTTGAAAAATGTCCAAAGATAATAAAGATGCAATAAAAGCACAAGATTTGAAAAGAATGAAACCGATACATTACCATACTGAGAAGCACGTAAAGCAAGCAAGACATGGAAGTCACGCTGAGGAAACAGCTCCACATTATGACAAGTAACGAAGCAGGACCCAATTGGATACAGGAATGAAACCCTCTCACCAAACAATTTTTCCAATAGATCAAAACCAACCTCGAAAACTTGCAGAGACCAACACATCCACTACAAACCATAGGCCAATGCCTCTCCATTAACAACCCCACTTTATCCCTACACCAAGCAGCAGCTGTTTTCGCCTTTGAATAAACATGTTTCTGAGATTCCAACCATTTCAATCCCTGCTCAAAAAGCCCTATATCCTCCATCGCATAAATTTTAAATCTCTGGATCCACCCTCGAGAAAGATCAAATTTTTACTATGAAAATGGAGAGAGGAAAAATATCCATTTCAGGGATTGAAGTTTAGCGGAACTAAAACATACCCATTTCCCCATTTCATTAGCTTAAATTTAAGAAAATAAAAAGAAATACCCATCAAAGGGATTGCAGTTGAGAGAGTAAATTCGATCACGATGGGTTCATCCAACCCCACAAAATTTTAGCTTCACATGTAAGCTAGGAGGAAAAAAATTTAAAAAGAAAAAGGACAAAAGAATGAAGCAAATCACGCCCCCTTTTTCTAACTCTGAAAATCTGGGACTAAATACAAAGACTAAACAAAGAAGACACAGTAAATCAAATGATAAGGTCAGTTTAGTTGGTGGCCTGGTGGGGGTAAATAAAAGCTTAATTATTTTTTAAAAAAAATTGAGGTTTTTTTTTTGGTTATGGTAAGACAAAACCTAATAATATAAATCTATTTTCTTATATTAATTTGTTTTTTCAGTGAGTGCTCAGGAGAGGAAAAAAAAGGGGGGGTATGCTCTGAGTTGAAAAGAAAAGTTGGAAAGCAGCTGCAAGTAAAAAGACAGAGAGCTGAAAAAGAGCGAGCTAACTCTGTCTCTGAGTCAGCTAAACTTCAACTCGGACGAGTAGGAAAGGAAGGATCATTCATTAAACATTGGACATTTTCGTTAGTTCATAATTAGACATTAGACAAAGACCAGAGAGGTTGAGGACCCACTTTTGTTTTTACATTATGAATTACCAACATTAGACGTATCATGTTTTTGTTCCCTTCATAATATTTTTGGTAAATTATATATTTAATATTTAAACTATAAGTTTTAATATATTTTAATACTTAAATTTTTAATTCTTTCAAAAATATATATATATTATTTAGTTAAAAACTTAAAACGTTTAGTATCTATTAAAATAGAACAAAACTTACAGTTCAGGTACTAAACATATAATTTACCTTATTTGTTTGTTTGAAAAATTATTTTTTATTAATGAGAATGAGATGAGATGAGATGCTTATATAATTGGGATAAAATCATTTTCAGTTGATAATCTTTTAAATTTAGTTCTTTATTTTTTTTTCATGTTGATCTTTTTTACTCATTTTTAAGATATGGTACACTAAGCGTATGTTATATGATATAATTTTAAAATATCACATTATTGAAAAGATAAATAGATGGATTAAAAATAAGTTTATGGATTAAACTAAAAATAAATATTAAGTTTAAGTATTAAAGTTGATTTATCCTTTTTATGTGTGTGTATATATAGGAATAATAACAAAATTATCTTAACGTTTGCACAAATGATCATTTTGTGCTTTATCTTCTTTTTTTTTAGCATCTTATCCTCAAATGTTTCATTTTGGAGTAAAATATCTGCTGATTAGATGAAAATTGTTAACTGACTAACTGTCTATGTTTCATATGGACGTGGCAAGTCTATGTGTGATGTCACTTCAACAAAAAATATTTTTATAATTATAATTAATTACATATACACTTATAAAATATATTTTAAAATAGTTTAAAAATAGTTGTGAAAACATGGCATTACACGTGGACTTACCACTTCAATAGGAAGCGTTGATCATTAGTAAACTAACGATTTTCATCCGTCAAAGAGATATTTTACTCCAAATAAAACGTTTAAGGCTAAAATACTCTAAAAAAAATAGGAGATAAAGCGACTCCTCGTACAAACATTGAGGGTAATTTTGTTATTATGCTTATATATATTATAAATTATTTTCTTTTTTTATTATTGAGAATGAGATGTCATGGAATGAACTAGTTTTCTTTTATGTTTAGTAGCATGTTGTTGTAGGAAATAAATTTCTGAATTTATTATTATTTCCATTGTAGTTGTACATTAATCATTTGATATTTATTATTTGTTGTAGGAGATAAAGTCGAACATTTTCCCATCGCTTTTCTCCTCTGTTTTAAAAATTAACAATTTCTTCTGAATATACGCGCATGATTAGTGTACGTAAAGAACCTCCTTCCGGTATTATTATTCATCCAAATTATGCATAAGATAGCTCACATTCTATAAAAACACGTGGGGATTGTGTTGGATTAAAATCTATAGTTACGGACACATATTTATAATGTATGTTGTTATCATAAAAAATGAAATAAATTAAGTGACCAGTTATGTTATAAGTTCATATGGTATGAAAAGTGCATGAAAATAAAAGTGTAGATACTATTAAAGTTGTATTTATAATTTGATGAGGGGCAGAGTCATAAGTGCAGACAATAATTGATTCTTAAATCAGCTATATAAAGGGATTATGGTCCCCAAGAAATAGACAATCTCGTATTTACTCTTATCACCGTCAGAGAGTTGATACTTAAGGGAACTCTATCTTCTTGGAAGATCACAACCAAAGAAAGAGTCGAGGATTTGAACATATCAATTAATTCAGGTACACTTCCACATTTAGTATTTTTATTCTTGATGATTTAGCATGATTAGATCATGGTTGTTTTTCATTTTTATTATGATTTAGTCCTAACAGATTGCAGTTGGTGTCTCCATTGCCATCTTCGATTGTTGATCAAACAAAGAGAATAAGAGAAGGGAAATTTGATTTTTAGGGTGTTCAAACAATTTTGGGTGAGAAATTTTTTTATTAAGCTGAAATGAGTTAAAACGATTATTTTATTAAGCTAAAAAAATAATATTAACATGTCACGTTAGATATGACTAACAGGAGGTAACGTCAGAGACCTGACTAAAACCGAACTAAAAATAGGTGATTGTATTGTAAGTTTTCAAAGTTGGGTGACCAAAATGCAAGTCTAATAATATTTTTGGCCCTCAAAATTTTTACAAAAATCATTTTGTCTTTAATTTTTTTTCTCATCTCTTTTAATATTGAAATTTTTAATCAAATTGAACCAATTGATGGAAAAATTTTAATCTAATGTTAACTGTGTCGATTTGTATAAACTTTATAAATTTCAAATTTTTAAATATATTTATTTATCTGTTTTTTTTTTACATTTTTAAATGTTTTAAATATTGTTCCTTTATGTTTGGATCAACATGATCAAAAAAAAGTTTAAGGGCAAAAAGAATGAAATAAAAGTTTAAGAGGTAAAATGATTAAACTGATAAAATTAAGGAGCCAAAAGGGTTATTTTACCTTTTCAATTCATAATACAAGAAATGTAAGATGATTGCAGCCAACCAAAAAGTTCGTTGCAATTTATGGTATAAGGATAGAGTTTCATTTAATAATTTTTTTTCTTTAATGTAGTTTTGGCTGTCATAAGAATTTAATGCTTTTTCAATGTTCTAAATATCAATCAGTGTCACAGTAAATAGGATTTAATAAATAATCGGTTAATTTAAATTAATTTTTAATTTAATTTTTTTTAATTTATTCGATATCAAATAAATTGGAGAAAAATTTATCAACTTAAACCCAGTTCAAAGATCTGAAAGATAAACCCGGTTTGGTTCGAATTTAGGGTAAAAGAGAAGGATAACCGAGCATTGATAGCTCTGCAAAAAAATTGGATAAATTATGTATTTAATACTTAAACTATCAATTTTAATCTATTTTAGTACCTAAACTTTTATATTTTTTTTCAAAATCATACCTAAAATTTAATTTTTTTTTGTTTCATATTAATACACGCAGTTAAAAACTTTAGTTTTTGTTTGATTTTAGTACTCCGTTTAAAATTTAACGTTAAGTTTTGAAAACATTGAAAGTTTAGATACTAAAACAGATCAAAACTGATAGTTTATGTATTAAATGCGTTAAGGTTTTAACGGCGGGTACTAAAATGAAATGAAAATTAAATGTTATGTATGATTTTGAAAAAATTAAAAGTTTAAATATTAAAACAAATCAAAATTGATAGTTTAAGTACAAAATGCATCATTTACGCGTAAAATTTTGTTTAATCAACCCAACGGTAACATTTACAAAAGCTTGGTTTCGGCTATTTCCACCAAATACAAGAAAGGACACACTGTTGTACAATTTACAAAATGGCAAAGCTTGAAAAAAAAACTCAAAAATAGAATAAAACTGAATAAATTTTGAGATTTGGCCGCTCGATGTTTAAGCACTCCCGGTCGGTATTGAAGGTCACAGTTGCAGAAGCTGAGGTTCCTGGTGACATGGTTGAATTGTCGTTGTCTGAGCCAGAGAAGGCACTATAAGATGTGTTCTTCGGTTCCGGTTTCACTTTATCAGAACTTCGAACTTTGAGGTCCATAAAATCAGAAATTAAGCCCGGTTTTGTTATCTTCCTTTTGTTGACGTCTTTCTCGCCGGTTAGCATCTTGACGACCGATGACATAGACGGCCGTAGTTTAGGAGCATCTTGGGTGCAAAGAAGACCAATCTTGAGGTACCTACAAGCCTCCTCCACGTCGAAATCACCATTCAGCAAATCGTCTATCAATGCAACCAGCTCATTTCGCTCGTAAAGTTCCCATGTCTGGAACAAGAGATCAGCGTGTCACAAGGAGACACAACATTAACATATATCTCACTGGATGATCTCCAAGCAAAACCGAAAGGAACTCTCATCACTCATGGATCAAGCTCCACCATTGATACAATTGCAAATAAACTAAACTTAAAACTATAACAGAAAAGACTCGAACCCATACCCTTTCTAGGAGATATTGTTCTCCTACAGGTAACTGCGTTTTTGTGTTACATCTCCCGGTGACGATTTCTATGAGGAGAACGCCAAAACCGTAGATATCTGCTCTTCGCGTCAGCTGCCCCCTTATTGCATACTCCGGTGCCAGATAACCTCTGAAACCAAGAATGAATGCATCAATGACATTTAATACTCGATGAAAGCATAAAAGTTTGGTCGATGAGCAAATACGAACTAAATTTAAGCCCAATGCCGCATGCTTAATTTGGTAAATTTTAAGCAATGCCTTGAAATAGAACCTAATTTAAAGAGATAACCAACTTCAATTCGAGATTCAAAAGTGAAAACATAGTAGACACTAGTTCTTCGCGGTGGCCTCACTTTCTCCTTTCTCCATCTGCTTTCTTGCAGATTTCAAAAACCTTTAAAGTGAAGAAAAATGATGTTTGTAGAGGTTTATTAAAAAGGAGAAAATATGATACGTGAATTACTATATACAGAGAAAGGAATTGTCTCCAGGATTATTAAAGCTCAACTCCAATCAGAATGTTTCAATCCGACTCATCGTTTATATTTGGACATGGGTTGTGTGCATATGAATATGACCCTCCAACGACCTTCCAAATACATATAAATTCTTAGGATTTTTTTTAATAGAACCATGTTGGAGCACTTATCCAACACTTGCATCCGAATCTGAGTAACAAGTAAATTTTTTGCTACTATAGTTTTTAACACGAAAACTTTGTAACTTGGACGGTAATATGGTATTAACTGCTAATTCAAAACTAAAAAAATAAATTTGAAGTATGGTTAAACTTGAAGGAATAAAAGGAATACTGGAGCCTTACAGTGTTCCAGCCACACGAGTGCTAACATGTGTCATGTTTGCTGGGATAAGTTTCGCCAATCCGAAATCTGATATTTTGGGTGTTAGGTCTCTGTCGAGAAGAATATTGCTTGCTTTGATATCTCTATGAACAATGTACGGTTTTAGTTCCTCATGAAGAAAAGCAAGCCCGCGTGCAATCCCGATACATATTTTGGTCCGTGTTTTCCAATTAAACTGGACATTACTGTGACCACTACCTGTAAAAGAAAAGGGTTAAACTGTTCTTAGTTTCCATGTGATTAAAACTCTATTAGGCAAGCACTGCATGAATCGTTAAAAAGAAGATTCATTTTATACAACACGGCGTATTCTATTATTGACATGATAATTATGCAGTTCATTTAATGGAAGGCAGCGTAAAATATATAGCAAAACACCTCTCTCTCTTTTATAAATATATATATGTATGTATGTATGTATGTATGTATGTATGTATTATGATATAAAGAATAGCCTCAACAATAAATTGAACTTAAAAGTGTAGAACAATATTGAAAAATTACCAAGAAGAGTTTGGGAAAGGCTGTTATTCTCGAGGTAATTATAAACCAAGATTCTTTGATTATCTTCCACACAACAGCCATAGAGCTTGACTAAATTTTCATGCCCTATTTCAGAGATCACCTTAATCTCTGTTACGAATTCTTTCAGTCCCTGTCTTGATTCAACCGAAAGAACTTTTATTGCAGCAAGATTTCCGTTTTTGAGCTGCCCCTGAAAATCAATAATGATAATTAAGGAGGTTCCTTTCACAGAATGATGACAAGAAATAAAAGGGGAAAGCTAGCAATGCTCATATATTTAAACAACATATATATACCTTATAGACAGAACCAAAACCTCCTTCACCAATCTTATTGACTGGGCTAAAATCTTCAGTGGCATTTCTTAATTCTTTGTATGTGTAAAATTTTACATTGTGAACGTCAAACTCTGTTCGGAACAGATTAGGAGGTTTCATTCGTTAAATTACATGCGGAGGCATAAAAAGATATTCTAATTATTAGAAGGGTTCTGACTTACCTTCATCAACCTCAAAAGAATGGTTTTTTGATGAATCATTATGTCCACGAAATAAGAAAGAAAAGCAAGTCATAACTTAATGATGCACCAGAGACAAGCTTTCCTATATATTTGATCAATGCTTTGAATCAGAGCGCTTTCTGGACCTGTCAAGAAGAACCAATGAGAAAAACTTTAATTCCATACCGTAAAACCGTGGAATCAAATAACAAAATCACAAAGGTAGGCAAGGAGCAGTCATCCGTTAACTGTCTGAGCTAAAATTAGAACTCATAAACCAAATTTCGTGGTGTATGTCGGAAACTGATGCAGACAACTTGAACACAGAAAAAAGCAATATCAAGCAGCCAATGGTTTCAGAAATATCTTCCAAATAACAAAAGGATGCATTATCTATGAATTTAATGTCACAACTTTAGATTTCTTTACAATGATTATATTTTAATCACTTCATCACTAGTAAGTTTTGCAGTAGAAGTTTTCAGCAGGCAGCAATTAGCGTTGTCGTCTATAGTGCAGAATGTAGGGTAGCTTTGCTGCACTAAACAAGCCATTGGTAACAAAATACAAATATTGTACCTTTTGATACATCGATTAGTTAAAGTTCCTAGTTGGAGAAATCATACACTAGACACTATATATCATCATATGTATAAACAAGTTCATTAACAAGAAATGAATCCATTAGCCCATGACGGACTTGACAATTCACATATCAAATTCCCAAGAAAAAAATGTTGAATTCTGAAAATTCAGCTAAAATTATGAGGTCATCACTCATCAGCTCATGGAATCAATGCAACTTTGAAAGCTTTGCTTCTAACAGATACTACTAAAAGCGATGACTCAAATCCCTAGTAAGCAATTACCCGCTCTGTAAACCTACAAAGAGACTGAAAGTAAAAAAAAAAAAAAAGATGCCACCTGAATTCTGATTCAACCTCAATTCGGTCTTAAATGCATAACTTAAGTTTGTTTCACCACCAAACATAAAAGATGAAGGAAATTATAGCAGAAAATTTCATAAAATAGTTAAAAAAAGTACCCACCAATTATAACTAAGTTCAAGCAAAATACCAACATGCTTCAAGCAAGAAACAAAACCCAGACCAGCAAATCAGCTAAGAATGAAGATAAACAAGTAAAAAGAAAAACCCAGAGAGGAAAACAATTGATCATCAATAAGGGGGGGGGGGAACCCAGAAACAAAACTGAATGATAATCAGAAAATGAATAGATATTGGGGAAGTTTACTTGACCTGCAAAGGCTAGACAGATGCAGAAGGAATTGTCGTAGAGAACAATTAAGAAGAGAGGGAGAGAGCTCAAAGTCCATGGAAGAAGGTGAGAGTATTATGCTTCTTTATTTATGTGTTGGTGTAGGTTGTTGCCCAAAACTGACTCGTCAAATTATGAGTTTCTTTTGGTTAATTCATTTCTGTTTTCATTAATGGAACGAGTTTCAACGAGTACCTTTTTCCTTCAAATTTCCAGGTATGAAACCGAGAAGAAACATCATCGTCCTACGCGTATCAATCAACTGATTCAACTCATAGCATTCCAAGCTATTTGGTCAATTATTTCCTTCGTCTTCCTTTCCAATCCTAACAAAAATTTGTACTCGTTTTTCATTTCGTTCGCATGGGTAATTGACGATTTTATAGAAATTCTAATTGTTTTACCATCAATTGTTGACTTTTTTAGGGAAAATAATAGCGATCTAGTAACAAATAAACAAGATCATCTTTTAAGATTAATTAACAGTCAATGACAAATCATTATTATTCCATTTGGTTCATTGATAGTATTCTTTTAAAATAATTATAACCGAATATATGTGTTATCTAATATAATTTATGACCAAACTTTAAAATTTTATACCAACATCATTAGTTTAAATAATAAGTAGTTTGATATCGTTTAAACAATATCTCAGGTTTAAGTACTCGTGTATGTAGAAAATTTCCGCTGTGAAACTCACTCACCAAAATTAGGTGTATGACCCGAATCGATCCAGATTAGTCAAAACGAAACCTTAGAACCGAAAGATAACAAAAAAAAAAGTTTATATTTGTTTTTTTAAATGTGTGAAAAAAAGGAATGGTCAAAACATTTTCAATTTGTAAAATAACTCCAATTTGAGTTTTTTATACTCCAAGGGCATGGAATCATTATCTTTAATTTTATATTTTTAAAGAAATTTTTTCTAATTTCAGTTTCACTTTCGATATTATTATTTATTGGTTTGTTTTCAGGTTTTTTGTTTGTATATTTTAAGGGATGCTTAACTTTTAACCCTTGAATTTGGTAAAAGAATTTGATTTAATCATCAAATTCGATATTTCTTCTGTTTAATCGTTAATTTTTAGTCTTTTTTATGATTTAACACATTGAGATTGTGACACATAGTACAATCTAAATTGTTACGTCATTCAACCAAAATCCAAGTTCATGGGCTAATACGAGGCAAAAAAATTAATGGACCAAATTGAAAAAAACTATCAAATTCAGATACTAAAAGTGATTTTATCCCTTTCCTGATTAACAAAAGAATAACAAATAAGTTAATTTGCGTGAAGTCAAATAAATTTTTTATTGACATAATTAAAACAAAACATGTCATGTAGTTGCCACTATAAAATTCCACCTTTAACTAATCTCCAACGGCTCTATTCACACACCGTTGTCTTATCTTCACAAAAAACTGTAGAGCTAACTGCACCTAGTACTTAAATTATCAATTTGAGTATCTAAACTTTTAATTTTTTTAAAAACATACCTAATATTTAATTTTTATTTCATTTTAATTCTCGCCGTTAAAAACTTAACGCATTTAATACATAAACTATCAATTTTAGTCCATTTTAAACTTTCATTTTTTTCTTCAAAAACTTAATATTAAGTTTTTAACGGATCCTAAAATGAAATAAAAACTAAACATTAGATATGATTTTAAAAAAAATTAAAAATTTAGATACTAAAACATATCAAAATTGATAATTTAAGTACTAAACATGTAGTTTGCACAAAACTTTATTCAACTATTTAAGGCGTACCGTTGCCTTTATAAAGTAAAGGGCTAATATCACGTTTAGTCCTTGAGTTTAATGATAATGCAGTATGATATCTATACAAAGAAAGCTTATAATTTAATACTTGTACTATAGTTGTGTTATAATATGTTTCGTTATCATATAGTAAATCAACGCATGTGCACATGGCATACTACATTTGAGATAATTGATCGCTGAACTTAATAATCACAACTAATGAAGTTATATAAAAACGATGTCACGGGGAAAACCGGATTAGCGATATGGGCGGTCACCCTAGCCGGAATTCTCTCCGGTGGAGCACATCTGGCTTACAACACAAGTGCTTAAGCACGGTAGATCTCGATCTCGATTTGCAATACTACTCGTATTCTGTCCCTAAGAAGTAATTATGCACTAATCAAAATAACTTCTTCAACAAGAAGTTAACTTTTGCGTGTTTATGATGTTTTGGCTTTGGCTAGCTAAAATTACTGAGATAATATTGATTAGGTTGAAACATTAGGTAAAACAACATGTTAAAACTCAATCAAAATGTTACTGTCCATCAACAAATCATGGTTAATGTTCCTTTGCAAATTCGAAAACAGAATACGTACATACCTCCTTCTGAAGACATGAAAACTCTCCGCCTCGGATCTGATACGCAAAGGCAAAATGCGAAACTGAAATTCGGGTACCTCTACATACGATTTCCGCTGCTGTAGAATATTTAACCTTGTGGTAGAAACTAATTAGTACGATCCCATCATATCTCTTCATACATTTCTTCATCTTGAGGAGGCAGTGACAAGCTCTTGACATGAGTTGAGCTAAAATGTTCGGTTACATCGACAATCTTGGATCGAACTATCTGCAGTATGCGAATAAAATCTATGGTTACTTGGCTAACAACTGGGAGAGTTGTTTTTCTAACTCGGTAGTGGATCATGAATGTCGACCAAAAGATCAACACTACAAGATCAATGGATAACCAAATCGATCTCCATTCCATAATATGGACAGAATCAAAGTGACGAACATGAGTATGTATCTGACATGCATATGTATAGAATTTTCATATTTGGGTATGCATTGGAAGAGGGGTTATTATACTCTAGTCCACTAGGTTTCAATTAATAGCATGACAGAAAATTGGAGGGATGAAGTACCGAACCTTCTCAATTTCATCACAAAGAATGGAGTTGTCTCTCAAGTACTGTAATGCTTTATCTCGGCCTTGTCCCAACCTTTACAAAAATATAGAAAACAGGAACGAATTTATTGCAAACTTACAAACACCAGTTCAAATTATTTAACACGATTAACACATAAGAAAGCTCGAAAGCAAACCTATGGTCCCCATAGCTGTACCAATAGCCCTTCTTTGCTACCACATCCATCATGTCGGCACAATCCAAAATGCATCCCTGTAGGCTCTTTCAATGTCAAGACAGAGAGAAAAGTCTGTAAATCCGGATGATAGTAAATATCACATTGCATTACTAACCAATTTGCTTACTCCCTCTCCAAATATGATTTCAAATTCTGCTTGCTTGTATGGTCTCGAGACCTGCAATAGCAGTCAATTTCGGGACTCTAAGTTCACCGGATATATTAACAATTTCTAATGGTTTTTTTAGCAGGCATAATAAACTTTAATGTAAAGCCTAACAAGAATCAAGTGAAGTACAGCTTTTCTCTATCTTTAAAGTCGCTGATATGATTCTTGTTTACCTTACTCTTCTGCACTCTTACACGAACACGAAGCCCAATATCCTCATCGCCTTTAACCTAATATGAATTATGTGGTAGTAATTATTACATATTGGGTGATGAAAAGGAAAATGAAGATACTATTTTTTTTATCCATTTTATTATTATTATTATTATTATTATTAGTATTATTATTATTAGCATTATTATTATTATTATTATTATTATTATTATTATTAGTATTTATTATTATTATTAATATTATATATTATTATTATTATTATTATTATTTAATAAATAATTACAACTGGACCGGCCCAGTTACAAGCCAACTAGAACCGGTCCAGCCAACCAGAAACCCTAAACAATTAGTAAGGTTTCAGCTAGGGTTTCTAAACCCTAGCCACACCCAGCCGCCTCTGATGCTTCCAGATCCCAGCCGCCGCCTCACTGCCAAGTGGTCCAATGGCCCACTGCCGACGCCTCCGCCGCTGTCACGTCCCGAATGAAGGCTCCAGAAGATCAACGCCGACCGTCCACGCCAAGGCTACGGGGTGAGTCACCACTGGTAGTCCGGTGACTCACCAAAGCCCTCTCTTCGGACCGGTCCGATGACCGCACCGGTGGTGGCTATAAAAGCCACCACCCACCTGCAAAAAAAAAAGGAGAGACAGAACGAGACACAGAAAAAAAAAAAAAGAGACAGAGAGACCGCAGGAGAGACAGAAACCAAAAAAAAAAAAAAAAAAAAAAAAAAAAAAAGAGAAAGGAAAAATAAGCTATACCAACGATCCCAGTCTACAACCACAGCAGTAAACCAAAGGAAAAGAGAAGAAGAAGACTTACCCTTGAAGCCTTTGTAGCCCTCGGAAGCCAAACGTTGCCAAACCGCCGTTTAAGAAGGTAGAACCCTTCGGTTTTGTTTAGATTTACTCCGATTAGGAGTCTTTTAGAGAAAACAAAGACCGGAATCGGTCTTAGGGCATTTAGATCTACAATTTGGGGGTGTTTTTGGTGAATTCCGACCACCGTTACGGTGGCCGGCGGCGGTGGCCGGCGGCGGAATACGGTGGCCTATGGCTGCCGGTTTCCCTCCGGTGAGGGAAACCTAGAGAGAAGGCAGAGAGTTTGAAACTCTCTCGGTTTAGAGAGAGAGAAGGAAATGAGGAATGAAATGGTTGGCCCTTCGGGCCAGCCGATATTGGACATTTATAGTCCTTCCCGAACGACGTCGTTTCGGGAAGGACTATGCGCGTAATTACAAAATAGTTAAATCCCTTCCGCAGTCCTTAGTACTTGTAAACTTTACATTTTAGTCACTAAATTGAATTTTTAATTTTTTTTAGTTCAGTCTTCGAATTTTAAATTTATTCATTTTAGTCCTTTTTATTAAAATAATATATTTAGGATAAATAACAGATTTAATCCTTTAATTTTAATAAATAAAGTTTTCATCCCTAGTTCATATTTTTAATTAATTTTATTTTAAAATTTGATTTTTAAATAAATTCATTTTAGTCACTAAGTTATTAAAATTAGAAAATAAAATATTTAATCCCTATAATTTCAATTAATTAGGAATTAGATTTAATTTTATTCATAATTTAATTATTTTATATGTTTTCATTTATTGTTTAAAATATATTATTTTAGTGATATTTTTATT